GTTTCCTCAGTTAGAGCATAGTACTTGCCACGAGGTGCTAACAATTGAAAATTTTATTTTTAGTAGCTGGCTATGCAACCAAGTACGTAGGATCTGGGATGTTTTCAGTTTGTGCTTAGTTTTTCCCTCTACCTTTACGTTCTAGCTTGGGCTTACGTCCCCTTGAATAGTTTACTCTTTCAAACTATGGCATATATGCCATGTAACGTTTGTTAATTTAATACACTGAAGTGCATTATGGCAACAAGTTGTCCCAAGAATACCAAAGATATCACAACATATGACCCGACCTCGACCCCTAAAAATTCAGAAATCATCCATGATGCCAACATACAATGGTCGAGGTCGAGCTTATCACAAAATGTCACTTGAGCTACTAGGCCAACATGCCCAATTTCATGACTCGAGGTGATTCAAGACTCGAGCCACTTGGCCAAAATCAGCCAAGTAACACGCTCGAGCTCATCACAAAACGTCACTCGAGCTACTCGGCCAATAGGCCCAGTTGCACGACTCGAGCTTCCTGGCCAAAATCAGCCAAGTAACACGCTCGAGCTCATCACAAAACGTCACTCGAGCTACTAGGCTAATAGGCCCAGTTGCACGACTCGAGCCACTTGGCCAAAATCAGCCAAGTAACACGCTCGAACTCACCACAAAACGTCACTCGAGCTACTAGGCCAACAAGCCCAGTTGCACGACTCGATGTGATTAAAGACTCGAGCCACTTGGACAAAATCAGCAAGTAATACGCTCGAGCTCATCACAAAATGTCACTCGACCTATTAGGCCAACATGCCCCAGTTGTACGACTCGAGGTGATTAAAGACTCGAGCCACTTGGCCAAAATCAGCCAAGTAACACGATCGAGCTCATCACAAAACGTCACTCGAGCTACTAGGCCAACAAGCCCAGTTGCACGACTCAAGGTGATTAAAGACTCGAGCCACTTGGCCAAAATTAGCCAAGTAGAATGCTCGAGCTCATCACAAAACGTCACTCGAGCTACTAGGCTAACATGCCCAGTTGCACGACTCGAGCCACTTGGCCAAAATCAGCCAAGTAACACGCTCGAGCTCATCACAAAACGTCACTCGAGCTACTGGCCAACAGGCCCAGTTGCACGACTAGATGTGATTAAAGACTCGAGCCACTTGGACAAAATCAGCAAGTAATACGCTCGAGCTCATCACAAAATGTCACTCGAGCTACTAGGCCAACATGCCCCCAGTTGTACGACTCGAGGTGATTAAAGACTCGAGCCACTTGGCCAAAATCAGCCAAGTAACACGATCGAGCTCATCACAAAACGTCACTCGAGCTACTAGGTCAACAGGCCCAGTTGCACGACTCGAGCTACTTGGCCAAAATCAACCAAGTAACATGCTCGAGCTCATCACAAAACCGCATGAGGTGATTAAGGACTCGAGCCACTTGGCCAAAATCGGCCAAGTAACACGCTCGAGCTAGTTATGATCAAAGGATAGAACTTATCTAGCCATTAGTCGGTCATGCAAAGAGATCGAGGCATTGAGCATCGAAGTTTGTTTCACCATGTCTCACAACGTCAATTGTAACGAGCAACACTAAATACTGAGCTTCTATTTTAAAACAAAAAGTCACGACCCCATCTCGGGTAAGGAACTTACAACTTGTTCAAATTCAAAAAAGAAAAACAAAAAACAGTACATATCGAGCTCAATAAAAGCTATTCAAGATCGATGGCGTCAGCAACATTATCAGGGTCAGGGGTGCCAGCTTCCTCCCCGTCTTCATCATCAGCGTTGACCTCGGAAGAAGACAGTTCGAGCTCATTGGCCCTCTCATTCACCGACTTCAATTCTTCGACAAGAGGTTTTAGGTCTTTAGGGAGCCTGGTCCTTAGGAAAGAGCGAGCCATGCTGAGGGCATAGTAGTAAGACCCATATTACCTGAGCAGGGTTTTCTGTTCCTCGGACTTTTTAAAGTCCTCAATCGCTTGAGTTCGGGCTTAGACCACCTGGCTTTCAAACTCTTTTTTCCCGTGCAGAAGCTCGAGTTTGGCCTCCTCAGCCTAGTCTTTAGCCTCACCAACCTCATCCTGAGCCTTCCTTATCTCGATCCGAACAAGATCGCGCTCGACCTCAAGCTCTCGAATTCTCCTGTCCTTTTCTTCGTTCAATGCCTCGAGCTCGGCCACCTTGCTTGAAGCCCCAATGCTCTTCAAAGATAAACCTCGAGCCATGCTCAGGGCCTGTGCACGAAATGAAAGTTCAGTATCGAGGCAATAACTAACATGAAAAATTAAGCCAATGAATGATACCTTGAGGGTTGCGAGCTCAAGTGCCCTGACTCCCTCACCAGGCTCGACCTCATCACGGTACTTGTTCACAAGACTTGGAATCAAATGAGATCGAGCGTGTTCATCAAGAGCCAAGCTCGGTAGAGGAACCTCTCTTCTAAGTCGACGATCTCGAGTATAGCCCGAGGAGTGGATGATGTTGTTCGGGGGGAGGGCTGAGGCACCCGTACAGGACTCTTCAAGGACTGTCCAGTCCCACTTGGCATTCTGCTTGGGTTGGACTCCCGAGTCCTTTTCTTTCCCTTCGACGGGGTGGGAGCCTTCTGACTCGGGCCCTGGCCTTCTGCTGAATGTTCGAAAGTAAGGCGAAAGGATCAAACGACATCTCCAAATCTGCATAAAAAGAATACAAGTCATTTGCTTGAGCTAAGCTCGGGAAAATAGCTCACAGCAGTAAGGATATGACTCGTACCTTCGATGCCCCTCACGTTGGCAAGGTCGAGAGTGTCTTCATCGAGCAAGAAATCGATCTTAGCTGCGAGTGGCTCGTGGTTAACTAACCTAAGCCTATCCCTTTCTAAAACCTCGAAGTAGGCTTGTCCCTCATTAAACCTATTCTTATCAGGGACTGACCACATTGGCCTAAAGGGGTGATGGGGGTTTTGTGGCTTCACAAAAAATTAGCTCTCTTTCCAAACATGAAGAGAGCTCGGGGTTTCGGGCGTCCTAAATCCCCCATTCGTCGATAAAAATACAAAACAGTTAAACCTCGATGAGTATTTCAAATCATAAACCATTCTCAAAAGATCGATCCTAGGCTCAACCCCGAGAGACCTACACAAAATAAAAAAGTACACCAGCAACCTCCAGCCATTTGGGGCTAACTGACTCGGAAAAATAAGGTACGAGGTTAGGAAGTCGAGGAAGAAGGTGTGTAGTGGCCACCTGAGCCTGGCCTTAAGGGCATCTCTGAAAAAGGTTATCTCCCCATCCCGAGCATCCAACATGGTTTCGTCGGGCCCGGGAGTCCTGACATCACAAATAGGCATAACCCCGAACTCCCTAGCTATTTTTATAACCACGTGTTCCTTATACATGGTCGCTATCCTAGGGTACGTCATTACAGACTCGACCTTGGGGTGCAAGGTGATGGGGACTGCCATAGGAACGAGGGATGTACTCTCAGGATCGGGCCTACTACGATTCAAACTCCAAGAGGTCGCACTACTACTACCACCACCACTCGACCCATCACTACTACTACTTGACATTATAAATAAAGCACTTAAGAGCTCGAACACTTACCTATCAAGATCGACGCTAACCAAACCCTCTATGCCCCGAACTCGACCTGTTGAACGTTGAGAGTAAAAAGGTGAAAAGTGAAAAATGAAAGGTAAAATGTGGAGTATTTATAGGGGCCTGAGGAATGTGAAAAGTCTTTGAATCCTGGACATTGGTTCTGCCACGTGTCATCAATCCGAGTTGTTGTCCATTCGCCTTCTCGAGGCCTACACGTGGTGGCCGACAAAAGGCCCACCAAGTCCAACCCAGTCCACTAACAGGTCTATGCATCCGAGCTCGCTACTCGAGGGTGCTGTCTCAGCTCGGGCCTCAATGCACGGGGACCTGTGATGACTTCATACCCGATCTCGAGGTCGGGTTATTACATTCTTCCCAAATAGGTTATACACTGGGGTCGATGTCGAGGTTAAGCGTTACCTCTGAGATAATAACCCGAACTCGACCTCAACATTTTCATTTATGCTCCACGACAGAATGCATAAGGTCAAGGTCGAGATCGAGGGCGTTCCAGTCAAGTATATCGGCCTCACTGTCCCTGCCTCACGTGCCTCCCTCCAACCACACGTGACCAAAGAATATTAGTTCAACTTAACCATTAAACCCCCAACTTACCATAAAACTCACCTTATCTCAAAGTAATACAATCCCAGCACAACACCAACACCTTCCGTAAGGGAATACTAGTCCATTTAGGACTCAGCCACCAACTTCTTTAAATAGGTGTCCACTCCTCATTCTCTAGGTACGCGTTTTCATAAGAAATACTCAATCAATCAATATCCTGTTATTCCTCTTTTTGACTTAAGCATCGGAGGGGCGACAGGACACGCCTCGTCGCATTTGTTTCAAGTATTTGAAGATCGTCGTGTGCGGAGTTTCAACCATCACCTTCGGGTCAAACTCAGGTACGAATTTTGGTAGCATCACCATCTAAACCGATACTTTAGCACCACTAATATTAGATATCATCGTTCTTTACCTTTAGTTGAAGGAGGCAAATGGTTTCATCTTTGACTAGGAAAAAACGATTCTTATGGAACGCACTTGTCTTTTTGTATTAACAACAAAATCTCAGGCTCTATTACTGTACAATCAAATGAGAGCGAAGGACTCTTTGATGGTTGAAGGGGTATAGCCATCAATTTTTGACAGACAAAACCCCATTTATACATCAAAAGAAAAAGGAGAATTTAAAAATGGAAACATTAGATCAACTTGTTCCGTCACCTCAGCATCCCTACAAATGGGAGCCTGCGTTTTACAGAACCCTTTCCAAGCTACTCCACCAAAGGCGACAATGTGTCAAAAATACAATTTTCCGGTAATTTGACAATCCGGTAATTAAAAAGAAAAAAAAAAAAAATCTACTACTAATGAATCAATGACTCATGAACCTAGTTCTGGGATAAATTTCTCATGGCGTAATCCACAATCCTAACTGATGCTCCACCTCTTCCCAGTTGTGGACCTTGGTGACAAGAGGATGTCGATTAACCATCTTGGACCAAGGATACGAATTCTCATAATCGAAAAGAAGAACCTTGATCCCAACTTCAGCACACTCGATTGCATATCTTGGATTATCATCAATCAAAACCTTTGCTCCCAAGGACCTGGAAGAAACAAAAAAAAAAAAAAGTAAGAAAGAAAAGAAAAAATGACGAAGTTGGTTAAATGGTAGTTTTCTTGGACAGATATTTACAGGTTTCTAACCATCTCGCCCTGTCAATATGCTTGCAGATCAAGAAATGATGACTATCCTAGCATATAATCAAACTAGAGTATACTGCAATTTAACAACACGCTTGTTTTGATGATGAACAATGTACTTGGTATGTCAAGGAAGGATAAAACGTGAATAGTAATATCATGTTAAAAAACAAACAGAAGATGATGAAAAATATACTTGCAAATGTCTGATTTAGATCTGGACTTTCCATCCAATGCAAAGTGATTTCCAAACTGGATCTCCTTGAACAACCCCGGATAATATCTCTCAATCCATTCAATTGTGTGCTCCTTAATTGCATTCTGTCGGGACCTGCGCAGAATTCATAAATGACAATTAGTTTCAAAGGCAAATTGAAAAAAAGAAGTCAAGCGTGCAAGGGTCAAGGATACATACGTAACAACGGACAGATTACAAAATTTGGACAACTTTTGAAGAGCTTTCTGGGCACCTGGAATTGGATGAATCCCTTTCTTAAAATAAGATGTCTTAAAGAACTCGTGCACGCGTATATCAGCTGTCAAAAGAAAAATGATGATTTTCTTATTCAGGCTGTCAAGTATGGGAACTCTGGAAGGTGCGACGGCATGTGGAAAGCTAAGATACAAGTATGTTCTACACAAAGATCTAAACATTCTTCAACAAATTGCCAAACTGTAAGCAATAATTTCTAAAGAAAAGATATATGATGTTCTCTAGATAAAAATAAGACTTGTACTTTTGCAGTTATACATCAAGGGAAATCATAGCACCATCTAATACTAGCATCAACAACGGTCATGGGTAATGATCCACAGAAAAATTTCAGTCACAAAAACAATTCATATATGAAATTGGAAAAGAAGGGAGTGGGCATTGGTGTAGGATAAGTTCTAGGTAATATGACCAAAAATACACATTGAATAGGTAAGATTTTTCGTAACGAAGTTATACTGCCAAAATTGGAATAAACCAAAACATTATGTGTTTGTTTGAGGCCCATTTTTTGGCAACAAAAAAATGCATTTTACAATAGTATTATGATGGAGAATGTGTGGTTAAAAAATAAGGAAAAGTTATGAATTTGCGTGTATTATTATTTTATTGAAGAATGTGTTATTGTAGTGGGGTCAAATCACTATTCAAGAATGTATTTTGATATATGGGGCTCAAACAATATAATGTTTCTACAAAATTGAATTACAATCGAGCCATTATCTGAAAATTGTGAGAAACAAGTTGTCCACTTGATGAGTATGCACACAGTTTGATCACAAAAATAACAAACCCATTAGTTGTGTGTTTCAATCTAGTAAAGAAAAACTTTATGGATACCTTCATCACGAGAACAGTTCCATATCTGCAAGATTTATAAAAATATGAGTTAGATATGCATAGGTATGATTTATTTCCGGCTATTAGAAAAAAAAATTAATATAAATAAGTAATAACATATTTTTTACACAATTTTACATCCTAAACCATGGAAACTATAGAAGTATGAAATGCTGTTTCAACTCAATTCAAAATCCCAAGTGGTAAGCACTTCCATTATAGTTAAGAAAATAGGAGCTCTTACCACAAGGACACTTGATTCTGTCCCGAGTAAGCATTAATCTTCAAAGACATGCAAGCTCAAAACTAATTGAGCTTGGGCAAAGACAAGAAATTTAATTTGTATACAATGTGAAATGCAGGTGCGAGGACTGGACTACATATGCACCTAGGTAAATAGAGGAACGAGTGTGCTACATATGATACCTAAAAAACAGGTTCTCACTATCAGGATTTGGATCCTATGTTTCACTCGAAATCTTGACAAAGTTGGCTGCGGCCTTTCCCTCTCTTCCAATTCCCCCAACCTCTAAGAGAACCTATTGATCATTGCCATAACAACTCAACTCTCTTAATACGAAGCAAGATCTTACTTGATTTTCAAGTAATAAATCAACAAAATGTTAGTCCATCAAGGAGGCCACCCCATATTCCTGCCCCAATTCTACAAAGTTCTTTTAGCAACCAATCACACAAATGACAGGAAAGCTACTGTGGGGACAAAAGAAGTACGACCTGAGGACTAGGTTCAAAAGCAGTCATTTGGTTTATTTATTGCTTACATTTTGGCAGTAGACCAATATTACTTATTGATATATTCAATAACCCCTTGTTAGAAAAAAATGAGGAAGCGAGAAAAGGTTGAAAAACAGAAGCAAAGGAACAGAACAAGGAAGAACCAGAGTACTGGCGAGAGTAAGAAAAGGAGAAGCAGGATCAAGAGAGACACAAAGAGAAATCACAATGAAGGGAAAGGTTTCTAATGTACTTGAATGATCCCACACAAGTATTTCCAAAACAAGATAAGCATATATATATATATAAGTATTTCCACAACAAGATAAGCTTATATATATGCCCAAGTTATAAAACAGATGATACATAGTTAAACATATCATACTGAATCTTATCATTAATGCTTGCTTTATTTATTTTTTTATGGGTCGTTAGCTTGACGGTTGCTGATACTTGTATTTGACAAGTTAAGGATATGATTTAGTGCTTATGAAATTGGAGTTCACAAATTAAGGTGTAAGTTGATGGAACAGGTAAGGACCAACACCACATGAAATCCATTGTAAAAGTGGAAAAATGATCAATCATAATTTTTTCCCCTCAAGTTGGTGGATCACATAAACGAAGTTCTCGTCATAGCCTAAGCCATCTGAAGTTTTGCTATTATGCTAATCAAGCTTACACATCAGTGACAAAATGAGCATATTGATATTTTATTAATCTGAACTCAAGAATGCCTTTTTTTGTTAATGTGTGAGAAGATAGCAAATACGAAATGCAAGCAGCACATACAACACAGACTTGTTAAAGACTAAATGGTACCTTAAAAAACTCATAGACATGGTATTCAGAAACTGAGTGATTTATAGAATATCGATCTGCAATGAATTGATTGAGAGCTGATACAAAGTTTCCAAGAACTGCCAACAAAGACAAAAGAAATGTATAGAGATATGAGTAGGATGATCACAATGACATAGTATAGTATGAATATTCACAAGCTGAAACAGTAGAAAATGCTTATAAGAGAGTGCTCCAAACAAACTATCAATTCTGAAAGTCAACCCCCACCAACATTCCCCCTGCAATACCTAGAACCTTGTAATTATTTCAAACAAGATATAATTGGACCACAATACCCTCCTACAATTACAATGGCAGAATTACACTCAAAATTTTTGCCTATAGCAAGAAAAACAAAAATACTTTGAAAGCATATTTTTTAATCAGCAGTGGTAGTGTGGAGAAGGAGATTGTTTAATTCTTCTACTTACAGCACAGACTATTTTGCAGGATGTAATAGCTACAAGACTTACAAAAGATATTGACTATTCCACACAAAAAGCACATCATCCTTATCTTAATAAGTCTTACTACTTAATATTATCAATAAAAATGAGAGATTTGAATTCAACCAAGACCATAAATCATTACACCGGAAGAGAAAATCATATACCCTCATCAACATCCACCGCAATCATGATTTTCTCGGGCAAGAGCTGATCTGGAAATCCAGTCGAGTTTCCTCTATTGGTAGAGCCACCATCGCGAGCGCCAATAAAGGCACTATAATCCACAATGTTTGCCCTGTCCTCCACACTAACAACTTCCTCTGAATCAAACAGAAATTGCGGCAAGCACGGACCAAACGCCCTTGCCTTCTGCACCCCATTACTGTTACTAAAAATATCATTATCATGAATTTGAAATTTATTGCCATAATTGTCCGAGCAACAGCATTTGAACTTGAAAGAGCTCAGTCCCTTAATAAACCTTCCATCGCTTGTATCAATGGCTGATGCAGTAGATAAATTCGACGAAAGCCTTCTCAGAGACAATATCTGCAAGTCCCTTTGGCCCACCAAAAAATTCGAGGCTGCTGCCATAAAATTACCCCTCAAATATCTGAAATTACGATAAAAGTTCGCGATTGATGTAAATAACAAATAGCGCTTCTTTATCATACCGATACCTGACGCATTTACCCAAATCTTAGCATCCCAATTTCATATGTTTTGCTGCAAATTGATTTTTCCAAACAAGGAAAAAGGACAACTAAGAACAATGATTCCGACAAATCAAGGAATTGAGGGGGAACGAGGGAGAATAGCCCTAGCATATGCAAAAGAATTGAAGTATTTATATAGTGTAGAATGTTGAAATCTGAATATTAATTAAGGAATCAATAATCTTGATGGGCCATGTGAAGAAATATTCTGAATTTCTTGGAAAAACAATATCATAGAAAAAGTGAGAAAGAAATGAACAAACCCTCCATTGACGTTGAGGTTTGGAGGGATTTCAGTTTCAAGGAATTAACCAAAAAAAAAAAAAATGGATTTTCACTGGATTATAATGCGAGACAAGGAGGGCCAATGAAAATGTATTTTTGTTTATTCCTTTCTTTTTTTTGGTTCCATAAGAATTTCATTTTGTTTCTACTATAAGTTCTTTGAGAGCATGTTTCAACAGCAATTTTTTTTTTTCTTCAAAAATACATTTTAAAATAGTGATTTTAGACGATGTGCAGTGAAAAAATAGAAGAAAAAATTTGAATTTGTGTGAAATATTATATTATTGAATATTATAAGATTGAAAATAAATAAATAAATAAATATATATATATATATTTGAAAAATAATGGGACCAAACAAGAGTTGAATAAGTTTCCACCCCCATTTTCCTCTTTTTCTTTTATTTAGGATTTGTTCCTCTTCAAGACTTTCATTGGTTTAAAGCTTCAAAAAAAGCTAAATAATGAAATTAAATGGACATATTTGTGTTAGATATTTTACTTTGAAGTGTTAGCATTCGATTATTTTTATTATGTTCAATTGAAATATAATTTAAATTTCTTGATAAATAAGGTGGTAAGAAATTAAAATCTTCAAGATTTGTGATTTTAAGTGCGGTCTTTTTTCGCTCCATACGTATCTTCTCTTTTATATCTAAATAACTTTTGTGATAATTTAGAATATAGACATCTAAAAGAAAAGACTCATAATAAGAATTCGAGTTTTAATATCCTTACAATCACTCATCATACCATCCTTAACTATACATCTTCTTTGTCATCCAATAATAAAAGAAGTGTGCTGTCCCATGTATAAAAAGGGGACAATGGTTGATGATATAACATCAAGATATTTCTCGTCGTGTCAATTTTAACAAAAGAAAGATTGGCGCGTTACCTCCACCTATTAGATATGGTGCACAAAATCCTCCACCTTTTAAAATTGACAAAAAAACGTCCTTGTAATATGAATATCCCATACTATTATTTATCTCAATAAAAATTGTGAAATGGCGAATACATTATCTTATTTAAATTAAAAAAATGAGAAAAAAATTAATTACAATTATAGTTTCAATTTTTTAAAAAAATTAAAAATGAACCCCTAATAAATTATTAAAAAAACAAAATCCCTTCCCCTTCCACCACCCTCTTCCCAGTTCCTACCACCAACACCCACTTTTTTCCTCAATTTCACACTCAAATTGTGCACTGGTCCCACCTTGAAACTAGGGGCACTAGTAATCACCATCGTCGCTGAAACTTCTCCTCTAATGGCGAATGTTAACCAACCAAAAGGAGAGGGCTACCCCAATGCCCAAACACTCCTTCCATCTAGAGATGGCAACGGGGCGAGTTCGGGACAGGGAGCCCCTATCCCGCCCCGCCTCGTCACTCCAACGCTTTGTCCCGTGCCCCGTCCCGCCTTAGAAGGGGCGGGGCGGGGCACGCGACAGAAACGTTTCCATGTCCCGTTTATTTTTTTTATAATTTTTTTTTTGCCCTAAAAAATTTCCAATTATACGATTAAGGAAAAATATAACTCTATTTCCAAAAAATATTTGTTCATCAAATTTAAGAACATAAAACTATAACTCTATTTCCAAAAAATATTTATTCATCATGTACTCTAGTATAGAATACATTTTTTAAATGGTTCACGGGGCGGGTTATAATTTTTTTTGGCTCTAAAAAATTTCTAGTTATACGGTTAAGGAAAAATATAATTTTACTTCCAAAAATAATTGTTCATCAAATTTAAGAACATAAATCCATAACTCTACTTTAAAAAAATATTTGTTCATCATGTATTCTAGTAGAAAATACATGGATACTTTTTTTTTTTTATGGTTCACGGGCGGGGCATCTCCACCCCGCCCCACCCCGAGACGGGGCTCCCCTCCCCGCCCCGCCAACCCGTTCGGGGCGATTTTTTCGCCCCGAATGGGCGGGGCGATTTTTTTCGCCATCTCTACTTCCATCCCCCCTACGCCGCCGCCGTCTGTCTTCCTTGGTCCATATCCCAACCCCGAGAGTCCCCAATTACTGTATCTCATCTTAGCCTCCTTTCTGCACTCCAGAGCATACTAATCTAGTTCCTAAATTCCCTGTGCAAATCAGCCACAAATTGCAGAGCATCCCAGGTCAAAATCTTCGCAAAATTCGCTCAAAAATAACTACAAAACACACCAGAACTGCACTACTAAACAAGCAAAAGGAAATTTAAAGCCCAGCACTACTAGTTCAATGGATGGGTTTGGGACTGTAAATGAGGGTGTTGCACATATGGGCTTGAACTAGAATCAGAGTTTCTTTGGTTTCCAAGATTTCAAGTGAAACCTTTCAGAATAAGTGGGTTTTTTCCTGAATTGGCTGATTTGAAGTTTAAGTGGTATGCATGTGAAAGATGAAGTGGTTGTGACAGAGGAGAAGCCGGCGGAAGAGAAGTTGATGATAGAGATGAAGCGGTGGATCCGAAATTGGAGGCAGAGGTGGCGATGGGGCTGAATGCGGAGGTAGCGATGAACCTGTTTTTAATGTAATTGATAATGGACAGGCAGCCGAGGAGACGGTGGAGGGAATTCCATGGAGGAAGCGGTGGAAGATGGTGGTGAAATAGCTGTTTTTGATGTTGGAGATTTAACTCGGTAAAATAGGTGGGGAAGAATTGGTGTCAGTGACTCGCGAGTGGAGATGGTGGAAGAAGAACGGAAGACAAAGTTGCCGACGTGGAGGCGATGGTGGTGCCGGTGAATCTAGGAAAGAAGATGACGCTTGGGCCGCCTGGCTGCTTGGGAGGAGGTTGGGGGGAGTGTCAGGGATGGCGTGCAGATTTTAATTTTATTTTTTGTTTTTGTTTTTGTTTTTGTTTTTTTCATTTTAATGATATAATTGTTATTTAAATTTTTTTTTTTATAATTTATTTGGAATCATTTGTACCTTTTTAAAATTTTGGGACTATAATTGCAATTAGTTCTTTATTTTTATTTTTTTTCTTATTATATTATTTAAATATGAGTGTATATTCGTTATTTCACAATTTTTATCGAGAAAATGGATGACATGAGTATTACGTACTAAAATGTTTCATGCAGAGATGTTTTCCGCCAATTATAAAAAAATTTTTTTTTTTTTCATTTTAATGATTATAATTGTTATTTAAATTTTTTTTTTTTTTATAATTTATTTGGAATCATTTGTACCTTTTTAAAATTTTGGGACTATAATTGCAATTAGTTCTTTATTTTTATTTTTTTTCTTATGGTTTTATTTAAATATGATTGTATATTCGTTATTTCTACAATTTTTATCGAGAAAATGGATGACGTGAGTATTACGTACTAAAATGTTTAATGCAGAGATGTTTTCCGCCAATTATAAAAAATGGAGAGGTTTTTGCGCGCCATGTATAATAGGTGGTGCCGTTAATTTTGATTAGGCAGGACTCTTTTTTTTTTTTTTTAAATGATTTACACTTTTTTTTTTTTAACAAAGCATTTCAAATGATCTATTTTGACTCTTTCGAAACATTTTGTAGATGAAAAAATATAAATGATTTAAGCTTTTATTTTTTTTTTTAAACTGAAAGCATTTCAAATGATCTATTTTGATTCTTTCGAAACATTTCGGCATGAGATGATGAACATACTAGGCCCCTGTTTGACACCCATTTATTCTCATTCTCATTCTCATTTTTCATCTATTTCTTCATTTCATCCACACATTCTATCAATAAAATAATACTACACAAAAACCCAAAAATTCTCATTACTTTTTAACCACACATTCTTCCATCAATCACTATTCCAAAATTTCTTTTTTGTCAAAAATGGGTGTCAAACGGGGGCTAGATAAGGTTAGACTCAACATGGCTTACGTAGTAGATAAGGTTAACAATTTACAAATGTCATTGAAATAAAAACATTAAAAGTAATAATTAATGTCTAGCTACAAACTTCTATTAATCATTTCTTGTACTTATGAAAATTCCTTCCCTACTTTAGCTAACGTCTATTAAAAAACAAGTTGTTTTACGATGTTAAGATACCAGTTTATGTTCAGGCCAGTTGGTCAACCAATCACATGTCAAGATGTGTCGAGAAACATCTATATACAAAGATTTAAATTCATAAACATAGAGTTTACAACAAAATCGAGGGTATGATTTGAAGCTTTAAATATATCGACATATAGTTTTTCAGTATCACTTCCCCAGGTATTCTTTATCTACTCACCCAAGTCGATAGTCAGAATTTAATTTTTTTAGGAGTGAAAATTGTTAATGATTTTTTCTATCACAGCATGATACAAGTGTATTTTAGACTTGTGAGTTAATTTTAATCACATATTTTATGAGTCCAACAATTTTTCAATCATATATTTTATCAAAATTTACTAAAACTTTGACTTCAATTCTAACCAAACAGGGCTTAAACTATGAACTATAAATGGCCCAACCCACATAAAATATGAGGCATGTGCATCGCACTACTTCCGCCGTTGATAGTAGCTAAATTGATGGCCTGCTGCTAGACCTATGAGAGGCATGTGCATCGCACTGGCCTCGTGCATCTTACCTTGGAAAACAACTCC